CGGAGCCTTACCAGGGAGAGACGGAGGGGGGAGAGGGAGGAGACAGGAAGAGGGGTGGGGCCTTGTGGAAATGACAGAGGCCCTGCCAGACGGCACTTGGCATTCTACCACGCCTCAACGTGCCAGGGGGCGCGCGGTGGCGGATCATTGCCCGCGTTGTCAGACATGTAGAAGGGTGTCCCCAAGATTTGTCCAATTGGTGACACCAGGGCAAGTTGGGTCGGATTTTATCAGCCAGATGCGGCAACTGCAGTTGCAACCTGGATCGTGTACGAGGCAACTCAGACGTCTCTTGAGGTCTCCTGGGAGGCCTGTTGTGAGTTTTGGAAGCCTCCTGGCGGCCTCTTGGGGATCTGTTGGAGTATCGTGGGGCGTCGTGAGGGGTTTGGGGGGGCATCTGGGGGGCCTCTTGGCGGACTCGGGGGCCATCATCTTACGGGAATGGGCTCGAAAGACAGTTCGAGTTTCCTCTCTTGGGGCAGTCTTGGGGGCCTCTTGGGGACTCTTGGGGGCCGTCTCGGGGCGATCTTTGGGGCCTCTTGGGTCGTCTTGGGCACTCGAAAAGGCCCTATAAGCCAAGTGTGCCAATGATTTTGGCCTCGTGTGCCCGCCTTCAATCAGGGCCTCCATGACGGCCCACGATGCGCCAAAAATGACTCAAGGACGGGTCTTAAGACCATCTTAGACCAAGTGGGAAGTACATAATCCCAGCCACGCTGCTGCGGCCTTTGAAAAAGTCATGCGGGCCGCCCCGAGAGCGCCCAAGAGCGCTTGGAGCTCTGGGGTCTGAGCCCCTTGCGTTACGACGTTGTGCATATCATTTGCATTGTTCAACACAGAACTGTTGCTGCCGCGATTCCTACTCGACCCCTTCCCCAGGGCCGGCTTCTCATCCCGAGTAGTTTTTTGGCGTCACCGATGCCCAAGACTGGCCTCCAGAGTTCCAAACACTTCGGCGAGCCGGCCGCCTCATTGCTTCCTAACCTTCCCTTGGTTGGGCTGTCGCTTTGAATAGAGCAGTGGGGGCCCCTACTCCTCCTTCCTTCCTCCCGCCTCCCTCCTCCCTCCTCCCCGTCTCCTCCCCTCCCCTCAGACCCCTCTCTTTCCTGTTTAGTTGTCCTCTCTTTCGTCCAGACCTCGCGGGCCCGCCGGGGCTGCGAAGCCATCTTCGTGGTCTCCTGGGAGGTCCAGCGGAGTGGAGGTCCACGCGGATCTGCCGAGACCTCGCGGCTCCTTGCGGGGTTGCGAACCGTGCAGTTGTAGGCTCTGCCGAGACCTCGCGGCTCCTTGCGGGAGTGCGAATCGCGCAACTGTAGCCATCTTCGTGGGCTCCTGGGAGGTCCAGCGGAGTGGAGGTCCACGCGGATCTGGCACCTCCGAGGATGCGTTCTTGGGCAGAAGCTCGAGGGGCATCCGGCCGTGGCGATGACAGGTCCCCAAACAGACCCAATACGCCTTGGTGGCAGCACAGAATGGAGGAGAGGAAGAGAGCGAGAGAGATGATGATGATGCTGATGATGGTGATGATGATGGTGATGATGATGATGATGATGATGGTGATGATAATGCAGATGATGATGATGCTGCTGATGATGATGATGATGAATCCGAAGATTTATGATGCTGCTGATGATGATGACCATGATGCAGACGAACACGTTGATGATGATGATGGTGATGATGATGATACTGATACTGATACTGATGATGATGATGATGATGATGATGATGATGATGATATAAGGATGCTGAACACGATGATGCTGGTGATCATAATGATGATGATGATGATGATGATGATGATGATGATGATGATGATGATGATGATGATGATGATGATGATGATGATGATGATGATGATGATGATGATGATGATGATGATGATGATGATGATGATGATGATGATGATGATATGATGATGATGTGATGATGATGATGATTGTGATCTGATGATGATGATAGTGATAGTGATGATGATGATGATGATGATGCATGATGCATGATGATGATGATGATGATGATGATGATGATGATGATGATGATGTTGCTGCTGCTGCTGCTGCTGATGATGATGATGATGATGATGATGATGATGATGATGATGATGATGATGATGATGATGATGATGATGATGATGATGATGTCGATGATGCTGATGATGGTGATGACGACGCTGATGCTGATGATGATGCTGCTAATGGTGATGATGAGGTTCATAATCATGCTCATGATCATGATCATGCTGATGTTGATGATGCTGCTGATGATGATGGTCATGATGATGATGCTGATTATGAAATTGATGATGCTGCTGCTGACGATGATGATGGTGATGATGCTGATGATGACGATGTTGATGATGCTTATGCTGATGATGATAAGCCTGATGATGACTGATGATGCTGACGATGCTGATGATGATGATGATGCTGATGATGATGATGCGGCTGATGATGATGCTAATGATGATGATGCTGATGGTGATGATGATGATGCTGACGATGCTGATGATAATCACACTGGTCATGGTGATGATGATGATGATGGAGGTGATCGTGATGGTGGTGTTGATGCTGATGTTGATGTTCATGCTGATGCTGATGATGACGCTGATGCTGGTGCTGATGCTGAAGATGGTGACGATGCTGATGATGATACGGATGACTATGATGATGGTGACGAGGATGATAATGCTGATGATGATGATGATGAATATTATGCTGATGATGTTGATGATGCTGATGGTGCTGATGATGATGCTGATGATGACGCTGGTTATCGTGATGGTGGGTGTGATGGCGATGCAGGTGCTGATGTCGCTGATGAAGCTGATGATGATGATGCTAATGATGCTGATGATGCTGCTGGTGATGATGCTGATGATGATGATGCTGATGATGATGATGCAGGTGATGCTGATGATTATGATGATGTTGCTGATGATGATGCTGCCGATGATGTTGATGGTGATGGTGGTGGTGGTGGTGCGGGTGATGGTGATACTGGTGATGATAATGATTTGTTGGTGATGATTATGGTGATGGCGTTGGTAGCGGTGGTGATGGTGGTGATGATACGACGTTGTTGTTGTTGATGATGATGATGATGATGTTGACGATGGTCATGGTGGTGGTGATGCTGATGGTGACTATGATTATAATGCTGATGCTGACGATGACGCTGATGCTGATGCTGGTGCTGATGCTGAAGATGGTGACGATGCTGATGATGACACGGATGACTATGATGATGGTGACGCGGATGATAATGTTGATGATGAATATTATGCTGATGATGTTGATGATGCTGATGGTGCTGATGATGATGATGACGCTGGTCATCGTGATGGTGGGTGTGATGGCGATGCAGGTGCTGATGTCGCTGATGAAGCTGATGATGCTGATGCTAATGATGCTGATGATGCTGCTGGTGATGATGCTGATGATGATGCAGGTGATGATGATGATTATGATGATGTTGCTGATGATGATGCTGCCGATGATGTTGATGGTGATGGTGGTGGTGGTGGTGCGGGTGATGGTGATACTGGTGATGAGAATGATGTTGTTGGTGATGATTATGGTGATGGCGTTGGTAGCGGTGGTGATGGTGGTGATGATACGACGTTGTTTTTGTTGATGATGATGATGCTGTTGACGATGGTCATGGTGATGGTGATGCTGATGGTGACTATGATTATAATGCTGATGCTGCTGATGATGATGATGTTGATGATGATACTAATGCTTATGATGATGAGGAGGAGGCTGATGAGGATGCTAATGAGGATGATGATGTTGCTGCTGCTGCTGATGATGATGATGGTGATGGTGAATGTGCTGGTGATGCTGGTGATTCTGATAGTAAGTATGCTGATGGTGAGGATGACAATGGGGATGCCGATGCTGACGACGAGGAGGGGGAGGAGGAGGGGGAGGAGAGGAGGAGGAGGAGGAGGAGGAAGCAGGGCTGGACCTAAACTGTGTTTTTGATGATGCCGTGGGCCGTATTCGGTTCGACTCCGTTTGCGGTAGATGCGGACTCGAGACAAACGCGAGGGAACATGAAACCAAAACGAAACGCACACACACCGTTTGGGTTCAGCCTTGGGAGGAGGAAGACGACTTGAACTTGAAGTGATATGGCTTCGGGGTGCATTAATAATCCCATGGGGAGGGGGAGAGGGAGGGGGAGCGGGAGGGGGAGGGGGAGGAGGAGGAGGAGGAGGAGGAGGAGGAGGAGGAGGAGGAGGAGGAGAAGAGAGGGTGGAGGAGGAGGGGGAAGGGAAACGAGGGGAGAGAGTAGAGGAGGACGAGGAGGAGGAGGTGGAGGAGGAGGAGAGGAGGAAGGAGGGGAAGCGGGCTGGGAGAGGAGGAGGAGGAGGGATAAGGAGGAGGAGGGGAAGGAGGGAGGTGGAGGAGGGGAAGGGGGAGGGAGGAGGAAGGAGGAGGAGGAGGAGGAGGGGGGAGGAGGAGGAAGGAGACGGAGAGGAGAAGGAGGGGGAGGAGGAGGAGGAGGAGGAGGAGGAGAGAGCAGGAACAAGAGCAGGGAGGAGGAGAGGAGGAGGAGGAGGAGGAGGAGGGGGAGAAGGAGGAGGAGGAGGACAGTGCAAGCCCAAGACTCATCATGATTTGGAATTCACCTCCTCCAAGCACCCTCTTCATACGCCCTTCAAGAATTCATCGAGCTGATGAGGAAGTCCCAGGGAAATACGTCCCCAGGCGGCTAGCGACTGGCCTGGGGTTGCGACAGGGGGTTTTCTTTCACAGGGAAAACGAGTGGAGAAGGAGGGAGGATGAGGAGGTAGGAGGAGGAGGAGGAGGAGGAGGAGGAGGAGGAGGAGGAGGAGTCGTTGGAGGAGGGCAAGTGGAGGATGAGGATGAGGATGAGGAGGAGGCGGAGGAGGTGGATGAGGAGGAGGAGGAGGTGGAGGAGGAGGAGGACGAGGAAGAGGGATGGAGGAGGAGGAGGAGGAGGAGCAGCGGCGCAGCACCCCTCAGGCGATGAGCCCTCTTCGGGCCTGGGCAGGCTGTTCGGCCCGCGGGACGCCCGGCGGCCGCCGGGCGGGGTGCCGCCCCGAAAGGTCACGAGATGTGTTATTCGGGTGTTTTCGATACATAGCACCTCTTATTTTTAGATGCATATATGTATGTGCACACACATATATGTGTGTATTAGAACACGTTATATTTATATTTATATATATTTATCCAGGAGCGTATGGGAACATATGGGAAGTGGGGGAAAGGCGAACATCCAGAACCCATCGAAACATATTGGGAATCCTGGAATATGTGTATTTCCCTTGTTTCCCTGGGCCTCCCTAGTTTCGGGGGTAGCGATGGGGGGGTTAGGCGTGGACTGGGTGCATCGATCACGAATGATTGATACACCGACGATGCTCAGGTAGGGACAAACACATAGGGCCCCTTTACATGCATCGTTGATATCAGGGAGATGTGTCGATCCTGTGTATAGACGATGCAAGAGGCGGCCTGCATCGACGATGTATCGACGATGCATGGCCGATGCATCGGCCATTGAAGGTCGATACATCCCCCCCTAGGCGCCTAAGTCGGGCATGTCCTTCTACGGGAGGAATATTCGACATTAGTCAGAACATCACCTGGGGACTTTTTCTTGTCTATGTTTGATAATGGTTGAATGTTTTTTGGGGGCACTTTTTAATTTTTCGTCACAAATCCCCCTGTAGTGGGACATGCCCAACCTAACCCTCGGCCTATCTACCCCCTATCGTTGCCCCTCAGAGAAAGATCACGACAGGAGTTCTTTCTCGGGGGTGCCTGGGCCATTTGGAGGTCTTCTCGTCCCAGGGTGCCGTGAGCAGCTGCGCCGCGTCGAGGGAGCTCCCGGGGGGCCCAGATCGTCCCGATCGGGCGCCTGAGGCCCGTGTTCTGGCCCGAGGGTCCTGCAGAATCGCGTCGCGCCAAAACCACGTCGGGAGGCTTTTGCTGTTTTGGTGAGCCTGTTTTCCACCACCACCACCACGAGTTGGAGGGGGGAAGGAGGAGGAGGGCGAGGAGGAGGAGGACGAAAAGGCGTCGATGTAGACATCGAGCGTGACGGAGTGAGGTAACTGAACATTTTCATGTGGGCCGGTAATACATCCTGACCAGGGTAGTAGCGAACGAACAACCTGCAATATTGCAGATCCGCAGACGCAGGCCCAGCGACGAAGCCTCCGAGAACGAAGCATCTGGCAGACCGATGCATTGCAGAAAGTGCTCGATGAAGCCGATAGGTATGCCAATTTTCCAAGGGCCTAGTTAGGCTAAGCTTTACTACACTTGTAGAGTCCCCAGAGTAGACTAGCAGCAACCCGGCCTCTAGCGACTTCGTTTTCTGCGCGCGCAGCTTGCCGCCAAACCGCGTCAGTGCTAGACGTGAACTTGGCAGCTGCAAGGTAAGGTCGAGCATGCTCCTTTTCCAACCTGGATCGCGCATCCCCTCTTCGCTTTGCCCAGTGACCTGCAGAAGAGCCCACGGGGCCGATGGCCTCGTGATGCTTTGGCCAAGAGCGAGAGGGGCGTGAGGTTGGCCTGCGCTGGCATCAAATTGCCCATTTCCAAGGCAGCGTAGAGTGATGAGGAGAGCACCGCAAGAGCGTCACCAAGCATTCGAGCGCAATGCCTCCCGTGGGAGCCCATCAGTAGGGGGGGCCGCGTGCCTGGGCACCTGTCTGCCGATGCTTCTAATGTCCTCAGGGGAGGCGGGGGGGCCAAGAGAAGGCTGGACGACGAACGAATCGGGGGAGTTCGGGGGGGCGAAGTCGGCGCGCCGCAACTTGTAAAGCCGGATATACTCCGACTTAAGCAAAGCAAGGGGGTCCGCAGCGATTGTGCCCGCGTCGTCAAGGGTCGAAGTGGGGGCCCAGGGGGCAAACTTGCGATTGGCCCCATGGGCCTGGTTGGCGCTTTCCTCAGCCCGATGCAGGGGCCATGACTTCCAACAACCTGCAACCCACCTTGCTGTGCATCCGCCTCCGCAGCAGCCAAAGCGATGCTGAGGTTGGCGCGCAAGTCGGAGCGCTGGTCCGGCCGATGCGGGGACCCGATAGCAGCAAGCACAAGAAAGTGCCAGCGCTCATGCAAAAGAAGAGCTTCGGCAATAATCTCGGGTGGAGCATGTAGAGCTTGTCGGTAAATGTTTGCTTCGGCCTGGTCTCCAAGGTTGCTGCGCATCAAAAACTGCCTGGGTCTCAGCGCCGTCCACTTCAAAACGTAGCAAGCAAGGCGTCTAGCAGGTGGCCGACGGTCCTGAGCTAAATTCTGAACCCAGTGCATCTTCGGGGCGTTGCTTTCAGAACCTACGCAGGGGAGGATGGCGCCCATAGCGGCCTGGGCTTCACGTTCGGCCAAGTTGGCTCACGCCCGACAGATATGCTTAATTTTCTTTTGAACGCGCCTAGCGCCCCTGGCCTTGATGGGCCTGCTCAGGCAAGTGCACGTCCCTGGGCCCCCCGACCAATCGGGGGGCCTCTGAACAGGACCCACGATGGGCTTATGGGCCATGGGGGCGGGGGGGGATGGTCGGCGGAACTTCGAACCGTAGAGGTGCGCGAGCCTGGGGTAGAAGCTCAACCTAATTTGGGGGTGAAGGGGTGGCACAATAATCTTGAACAACACTCACCTTTTTAATTCCCTGGGCGAGACCTTGCGAAATAACAAAATAGTCGAGGGTGTTGATCCCTCAAGTGGTCGAGCACGCGCCCGCAGCATCCTCGCCATGATCAATGGCGCCTCGAATGCTCTCGCCGAGGGTACTATCAGCCAGGGGCTGCGGAACAAAGTGTAAACCACCACCCAGGATGCACGGGCCAGCCCATGCCTCAATGGCAGTAGCAGCGTGAGAGAGCAGCTCAAGGTTGATGTCGGCTTGCACTTGCGAATGGTGCAAATAGACCGAGCGCCGGTGGATGCTCTCGCCTCTGGAATTTGCAGAATAGCACCTGCAGCACAAGCAGGAATCAATCACGCGGTTTCCTGGGCGCTCGAAAACCTTTCGAATTCCCAGCCAATATGCCAACGCCTCCAGAGGTTCCTCCAGAAGCGACGGGAGTGGCGCGCGCGAGCAGGGCTTTCCGCCCGTGGGCCTGTGCCCAGGAGGAAGCCTGATCACATTCCTCACCAGTTCGCAAGTGGCGTTCTTGTAGTAAGATAACATGTGGCCGAGCATGTGGAAGCCAGTTTAGCATAGGACGCCGCGTCGCGCAATCGATTGTTTCCACGACGCGGTCCAGAGAGGCAGCTCCAGGGCCAGGGGATTGCATTCAAAAGTTGAAGGGCGATTGGGTGGCCTTATCAAACAGAAAGTTACCAGGTGGGACCCCCGTCTTGACCCCAGGACCTAACCGAGCGGCCCTCGAGCCGACCTCGGCGGCTTCAGGTCGGTTTGGGGCGCCGGCCGCAGGAAAGGTCTGCCTCGGGGCAGCCCCGCCCCAGCCCCACCCCCTCCCCGCGCCGTCGAAAAGGGCCAGCGACAGGGGCGGATCCAACCTGCTGATGGCATCCTGGGCGACGGAGATTGCCGCGGGGCATGGTTTACGAGTGCGCGGGGCCTTCCCCCTCGCCGCCCGCCCTCGAGTCCACGCCTCGGGGCGGCAGCGAGGGGGTGCTAATGTGAACCCTCACCTGGTGGCCCTCCTATCGCGCGCGCTTGAGCCCGCTCTCGAATGCCAGCCGCAGCAGCACCGCCTGAAGCAAGAGCCGAGGACGCCCTGGCATGAGCCGCCGAAGTGGCGAACGATACCTTGGGGGCTGACGAGTCCGAGCCTGCGTCTCGGGCTGCGCTGGGAGAGCGGGCAGACTTTTGCTGAGGGTCGATCTTTGTTTCTTCTCCAATCTTTGGATGTGATCAAGCTGATCCTTCTTGAGCCCCTGAAACCTGTCCACCGCGCCGCTGAAGAGGTCCTTGGCCAGCTCCTGCAGCTGGGTGCACAGCTCGTCCTTTCTGACATTGGTCGTCTCCTTATCTTTGGCGACACTTCATACTCATCAACATTGAAAACAAGGTACCCACGTGACTAAGAGACATGAGGACACTCTTGCCCTCGACCACGTCTTTGATGCACAAGCGGGGAGGAGGGCCATCAGATGTCGTCTCGGGCTTGCCAGCGAGCTGAGTGACCAAATATTGATACTGCTTGCCGGCCGCTGCGAGGCGGTCGTAAAGTTCCTACACGAACTTATGCGTAAACAATTCGGCGAATGAGTCCAACTTGTCAAGCTCGGTCTGCAAGGCAGACTCCAGCTCGGTGGCTATGCGCGCCTTGAGTGTTGACCTTGACTTGCAGGCTGGGCTCACTGGTGTTGCGCACTGACTCGGGCCTCTTCCTGTATTGAGTGGCAACTGTGGAATCTCCAGCCTTTCAGCGAGCAAGACCAAGTTCTGCAATTCATCTTCACTGAGCTCCTTCTCGTGTTCCCCCCTGCCTCCCCATGCGAGCCGTTGCTGTTATCTGAAGACCCAGCAGCGCCACGAGGAGCAGGACGACGAAAGCGACGACGGGCACTGCCAGCAAGCACCGAGTCAGCATGTGGGGGCGGAGCAGTCGTTTTCCATTCGCCACAACGCTTGCAGGCATTCCACACGTCCTCAATCTTCTTGCACCCGCACCACGCACAGCGCCACCTCCTTGGTTGTGTCGGCTTCTGCGAGGGAGGGCGAGCTGTGCTCCAGGGCGGCGGCGTTGAAGGCTGGTCCAGCCATCCGCCTTTGCACTTGGAACTTCAGGCCGCAGCACCGTTGCCTTTGCCGTCGGGCTGGCGCGCGCATGGGTCGCCCTTGCCACTGCCGCGGCCCCAGCGCCCTCCTCCTCCGATGGCTTCAGACTGCGGGGGAAAGGAAACGTGACTGGGGGCGCGAGAAAGAGCCAACTTGGCCCACTGCCCCAGAATGCCGCCCAAAAGTTTGAGACAGAATGGCCCGCCTGTGCTTGGAACGGCTTGAGGAGGAGGAGGAGGAGGAGGAGGAGGAACGTCAACACCTGCAATACTGCTGGGCCCGTATCGCAAGTTCACCTTG